TGCTCACAATTAAAATGAATCATATATTCAATAACTACATTTGGCCATTTGAGCAAAAATATCCATTTAGCTACAGAAATCACATAATGTACCAAAATAAATTCCAGAGGAGTTAAATATAAAAGAATAATTCATTTAAAAAATCAGAAGACTATGTTAATAAATATTTATGACTTTTTTTATGGGGAAGGAAATAACAACTGGAGAATATGTCAGTCATAGTGGCACGCACCCGTAATCCCAGCTACTCAGGAGGCTGAGACAGGAGGATCTCTTGAGCCCAGGAGTTCAAGACCAGCCTGGGAAACATAGCAAGACACTTTCTTAAAACAAACAAAGACAGAAATAAATGTAATAAGAAATGTGTGAGATATTTATGAAGAAAAATTGAAAATACCACCAGAAGACATAAAAGGAAAGACTTGGGGAAACATACTCTGTTTTTAGAAAGGAGATATATTATTATAAAAATTATTCTTAAATTAATCTATACATTTGATACCATCTTGATGCAGGGGGTGCCCCAATGAAGGGGGGAAAGCCCCCTGAACTCACCAAGTGGGTTCTTGGCTTCCCACTGGAAAGAATTTGAGAGTGAGCCGACTAGTGCCAGAAAGCTTATTGAGACAGAGACAGATAACAGAGAGGTTTTTGAGATCCCAAGCAAGTCAAACGAATTACAGACCCATCTCACTTAAGAAACCAAGATAGGCCGGGCGTGGTGGCTCAAGCCTGTAATCCTAGCACTCTGGGAGGCCGAGGCGGGAGGATTGCTTGAGCTCAGGAGTTCGAGACCAGCCTGAGCAAGAGCGAGACCCTGTCTCTACTAAAAATAGAAAGAAATTAGCTGGACAACTAAAAATATATAGAAAAAATTAGCCAGGCATGGTGGCGTATTCCCGTAGTCCCAGCTATTCGGGAGGCTGAGGCAGTTGGATTGCTTGAGCCCATGAGTTTGAGGTTGCTGTGAGCTAGGCTGATGCCACAGCACTCACTCTAGCCCCGGCAACAAAGCGAGACTCTGTCTCAAAAAAAAAAAAAAAAAAGGAAACCAAGATAAAGCTGGAGCTTTAGAGTCTAGCTGCGTGCCACTGATCCATGTAGTGATAGTAATATAGCAAAAGTAAAACTATTTGTTGCCAATTGTCCCAGTGGCTTTCCTCACAGTGGTGAAGCAAACAACCCAAGGAATGGTAACTGGCCGGCTGCTGGGGAAAATGATACATCTCACCTTCAGGGCAGGTAAAGATAGGTCCTTGGAAATTAGTATGACAGAGGCAGCAGGAAAAATGCTGACCGAGGGCACAGGGTGGCTTGGTCTTCAGAAAGAATGAGACAAATTCAGGACCAGCTGCTAATGCAATTACCCATCTCTGATCCAGGGTTAAGCTAATCAATGAGGAGCCCTTTTCCAAATGCCGAAAACCCTGGATCACCCACAGGGGGCGGCGTGTGGCCTGTTTCAGTCAAATGTGTCCCCAAAGGGCTTGTTTCAGCCTCCAAATTGGGGTCACCGAAACAACGTGGCTCTGGCATCACGGAGTCATCACAACAAAGAAATTCTCCAAACAAAAAGAAAAAGAATTTCAAAGTAAACAAGGAAAGTGCCCTGCCCTACACAAAATAGAAACAATGGCCCAAATGGCCCAAGCAGAGATTATAAATGCAGCAACACAATAAGCACAAGCATGCATTTATGGACTAAAGAGCAAGACAGGTCGGTGGGGCACAATCCAAAATACAAGAAACTGAGGAGGGGAAGTAAAAGAAAAAAGTGAATTATCGGATTCTGGCTTGGTGCAGGAGAAAATCCCCACCAATTCCCAAGGCTGGGGTTGCCTGAGGTCTGCCACCTACTTGAATCTTTACGGCTTGGTAACCCCCTGCCACTCTATTACCAGGGGAGCCATAGTTATGTGGATGAAATGAGTTTATATCCTCTAATTCAGCAGTCCCCAACTTTTTGGCACCAAGGACTGGTTTCATGGAAGACAGTTTTTCCACGGATGAGGGTGGGGATGCGGGGAAGATGGTTTCAGGATGATTGAAGCACATTACATTTATTGTGCAGTCAAACCTCTCTGCTAATGATAATCTGTATTTGCAGCCGCTCCCCAGCGCTAGCATCACCGCCTGAGCTCCGCCTCAGATCATCAGGCATTAGCCTCTCATAAGGAGCACATAAACTAGGTCCCTCGCACACGCAGTTTACAATAGGATTTGGGCTCCTGTGAGAATCTAATGCCAAGGCTGATCTGATGGGAGGTGGAGCTCAGGAGGTGATGCCAGCGATAGGGAGAGGCTGTAAATACAGAAACTTCATTCACTTGCCCGCCACTCACCTGCTGTGCGCCCAGTTCCTAACAGGCCATGGACTGGTACCAGTCCCCAGCCCTGGGGTTGGGTACCGCAGCTCCAATTCAGAAGGAAAGTCCCAAGAACAGAGTTGGAAAGAGATGGACTGGTGGGGCAGGTGCTAAAGATGTGACCAGGGAATAGTAGTCTGGGACACCCAGACCACGGGAACATACAAACCGGCTGTCAAGTCAGAGGCCCCGCAGCCACCTCCCTTACTTGTCCGAAATTGAGAGGAACACTCAGGTCAGAAATTACAGTGAGAAGGAAAGAGTCTGAGACTTTAGAAGGCAAAAGAACCAAACGAACCAAGGTTATCAAAACAAACTAAACAAAGGGAGATTCACTTGTCCGTGGGCCTCTGAATAATGCCATATGGTCTTAATTTGGGGTTCAGGTGTGAGGGTTGTGTCTCTTTGTCCCATCTGGGTCACCAGAAGAATGATGCAGGGGGTGCCTCAAGGAAGGGGGAAAGCCCACCTAACTGGCCAAGTGGGTTCTTGGCTTCTCACAAGCAATGAATTTGAGAGCGAGCCAACTAGCTATAAAAAGGTTTTATATCCTTTGAGACAGAGACAGACAACAGATCTAACTCCACAGACAGAATAGGGATCCTTTCTCTAGTAGGAGGGGACCCCTTATGGGACCATAGTAACATTTTTTTAAATGTTTAAAAACCCTGTATGTGACCAGCATTGTCTTGTGATCAGGCCATAAAGATTCATCATAAACTGCTGTCACAGGAAGGTAAGTGCAAACAGTTTGTAATCCATCCAACCTCGAGTGGTCGTGGGCCAGCGACTTGCTGGCGACCTCCTTGTTCAGGGTGGTGAGGGTCTGGTATCAGCCAGGATGGCTGTGCTCAGGCTGTCTCCACGTTCCTTTTTTGCCTTATCCCTATGTTAATCTCACTGAAAGTACAAACATGATTTTTAACTCGTCAAGCTGACGTTAAAGTTTATGTTGTAAAATAAATATGAAGATTAACCAAAAAAAATTCTGACAAAAGATGAGTAATAAGGGAGGATCTATGTCTGTTTCATATTAAAACATATTACAAGGGTTTATAATTGTCGAGATGGTTTTTGGCACATATTTGGAATATGGTTTCTGCCTGACCAAAGATGTCTCACTGTGAAAGGTCCCAGGCTCTTCAGCATGCCTTAGGGTCACTTAGAGCTGAAACCCAAATTTTAAAAAAAGTTTTTCTCGATTATATTGAGATATACTTGGCAAATAAAAATTATATAGACTTACGGTATATAAGATGATGTTTTGATATATGTATACATTGTGAAATGATTCCCACAATCAAGCTAATTAACATATTTGCCTCGCATAATTACGTTTCTTGTGTGTGACGGGAACACTTAAGATCAACTCTCTTAGCAAACTTCAAGTACGCAATGCAGTATTATTATATAGCTGTAGTCACCATGCTGCCCATTAGGTCTCCAGAACTCACTCATCCTACGTAACTGAACCACTGTGCCTTTTGACCAACACCTCCCCGTTTCCCCCACCACCAGCCCCTGGCAACCATCATCTACTCTCTGCTTTTATAAGTTTGGCTTTTTTAGATTCCACATATAAGTGAGAAAATGCAGTATTTGTCTTTCTGTGTCTGGCTTATTTCACTTAGCATAATGTCCTCTAGGTTCATTAAAAAATGGTCTAAGGACTTGAATAGATGTTTCTCAAAAGAAGACATACAAATGGCCAACAGGTATATAAAAAGTTGCTCAACACCGCTAATCATCATCAAAACCCTGCCGAAATATCACCTCACACCTGTTTAGAGTGGCTATTATCAAAAACACAAAAGATAACAAGTGTTGGTGAGGATGTGGAGAAAGGAGAACCTTTGCGCACCGTTGGTGGGAATGTAAATTGGTACAGCCATTATGGAAAACAGCATGGAGGTTCCTCAAAAAATTAAAAATAGAACTGCACATGATCCAGCAATCCAACCTGGGGTATATATCCAGAAGAAATGAAATCAGTATCTTGAAAAGATATTTGCACCTCCGTGTTAATTGCAACATTATTCACAACAGCCAAGACATGGAAACAATCTAAGCATCCATCAGCAGATGAATGGATGAAGAAAATGTGTCATATAAATACAATGTAATATTATTCAGCCTTAAATGGAAATTATGTCATTTACAACAACATGGATGAACCTGGAGGACATTAGGCTATGCTAGGTAAAATAAGCCAAATTTTCATCTTTACCAAATGTTTGCCTGAGGGGGTGGATTCACATTCTCCCTAAGCCGTGCATGCGCCCTGTGCTTGGGCTACAAGAATTGGCCCCAGGACCTTGTTGTCCAAACTGAGGTTCCTGGACCAGCACCAGCATCACTTGGGAGCTTGTTAGAAATGCAGAATCTCAGCCCCACCCCAGACCTGAACTCAGAATCTGCTTTTTAACAGGATTCCTCGGGGTTTTAGTGCACATTGAAGTCCGAGAAGCCATGTACTAGACCAAGCTTCCTGTCAGTGGAATAAAATTGCCTATTACCACCAACCTATTTTAATTGAACTAAGGCTTATTCAAAAGAGTTGTGTTTTGTACTCAAATAAAAAATGACCAGCCCTTCTGCACCTGATTATTATTACTTTTAATCTCTCTCTTTTAGGACATGTTCCCACTGGTCTCAAATGCCATCCTGACCAGGAACATCTGATTTATCCTCTGGGTTGCACGATCCTCATTCAGGCAATAAATACCCATGAGCAGAATTTCCTGCATGGTCACGAGAACAACGTCTCCTGTCTGACCATCTCCACGGGTGGAGATTACATTGCCTCCGGACAAGTCACATTCATGGGGTTCAAGGTGAATGAAGTGAAAGTAACTCATTGTGAACAGATTTAGGGGTGCCTCCCTAGAAGAACTGTCTCACTAGGTTGTTAGCTCTGTGCTGCCATGTGCTTTAGCCTTCCTTCTTCTTCCTCTTGACTTCTCTTTTAACTCGTTTCATTCTATCAGGCTGAGAGTGAAGGAATCTGATGCTTTTACACTAGAGGTTGCAGCTCGCGACTGATACTACTCACAACACAAGTCCCTACTTAAAACTGTTTCCATTTTGTTGTTGTCACGTTTTTAAAACATAATCTAATTTCTAGAAAAGTGACATTAGGCCAGGCACAGTGGCTCATGCCTGTAATCCCAGCACTCCGAGTATTGCTTGAGTCCAGGAATTGGAGACCAGCCTGGGCAATACAGTGAGACCGTCCCCCCACCCTCCCCCATCTCTACAAAAAAATGTAAAAATTAGCTGGTCATGGTGGTGCACGCCTATAGTCCAAAGTACTTGGGAGGCTGAGGCATGAGGATCACTTGAGCCCAGGAATTCGAGGCTACAGTGAGCTATGATGGTGCCACCACACTCCAGTCTGGGCAACAGAGCGAGACTCTGTCTTGATGTCTCAAAAAAAAAAAAAGGAAAGTGACATTACTGATAATTTTTCACCAAAAAGGGTAGCTATCTCCTCAGATTCTTTTAAAGCCTGTCTATGATCTAACATTGTATTCTTGCCTCCAGGCAGATATCATTTTGTGGGATTATAAGAAAAGGGAGCTGATTGCTCGACTGTCACTTCACAAGGGCAAAATCGAAGCTCTGGCCTTTTCGCCAAATGATTTGTACTTGGTATCGCTAGGAGGCCCAGATGATGGAAGGTAATGAATTAAACATATTTACTTATTTCCTGCCAAGCATATTTCCCGAAGTGTTCCGTGTCCTGTCCCCTGTAATGTTCTCTATTGGCCCGTCTGTATTTGAGTGTCCAAGTATTTGAGGTGATAGATATCCCAATTACCTTGATTTGATCATTATGCATTGCATACAGATATCAAAATATCACATGTACCCCAAAATATGTAGAACTATGATATATCAATAAAAAAGCTTCCCAGGTGATTCTAATGTCCAGCTAAATCCGAGATCCATTCCTGTAAAAGAAAGACATCATCATCATCACTGACATCATCATCATCATTAAAGACAACAGCTACATTTTTTAAGCACTTACTATGTGGCAAGCATGTGCTGGACATTTTAGTTGCATTATCTAGTTTAAGCCCCACAACAACTCCAGGAGGTAGAAGCTATTGATACCAGATGACAGATAAGGAACTAAAGTCACCAGCTGGTAAGCGGCAGAGTTGGGAGACAAACCCTGGCAGCGCGACTCCAGATGTGGCATTTTCAACTTGCCTTTCTGAGACATGACCTTTGCCCTTGAGTTAACTCACAGTCAAATTTGGTAGGCATAGAACACAGACAAATGAAATTGAAAACAAAACGCATATTTAAAACCATTATATTAGGAATAACAAATAATGCAGTACATATTTCTATGTAAATGTTAAAGGAACATAATCTGTAGAAGAAAAATAATAACACCTGAGGTTTGTGTAAGATTTAATACTTCATACTTTTACATATATTTTCTTGTTTGAGTTTCACAGGTTTATTACAAAGGAAATTTATACTTACGTATAGTTATATATTGACAGTTTTTCTCTTACAACATAGAAAGTCAACAAAATTTTCATGAGATTTCCCCCTCTACTACATTCATAAGTATTCACACCTTCCCTGGGCTGTCACCACTGAACAGTTTTTGATAAGAAACATATAAAGAAATCTCCTGTTAACATTCTTAGCTCAACCGAAAGCAGTTTTCTCAACCTTAAGTGCACATTGGAATCACCTGGTAAAATTTTAAAAATCCTGATGCCTGAGTCCCAGGCCCCAGAGATTCTTGGAGCTTGGCCATTAGGCCAGCCCCATCCTACCCCTGCCACACTAGGCCTTGGGGGACAAACATGGCCCTTTAACCAAGGTAAATCTGGCCAAACTGATAATTTCCTCTGTATTTTAACGCTTGATTTTAGGATATCTAAAATTTGCTTGCAAAAATGTGGGGAATATTGAGAAGCCAAAAGAAAGAAAGGAAAACAAACCGTGCTGTCCTAGGAAAATGCAATGTGCCTATGCCTGAACTAGTCCCGTGCTGAGGAGGAGGGATTGTGCTCATTGGTTTTGCATAGTCAGGGGTCAACCTGAACGTGTAGGAGGGGTCCATCCCACCCAAACCACCTAGCTTCTACACAGAGGGGGGGAAACAGGAGAGAAGCTGCCAACTGTAGTGGACATTCTACAGACTTCTATATTTGTAACCTATTTATGAAACTTGTTTGTATTAATGTTATTATGCTATGTTCTAATACAACTTGATTTTTGACTAACTTTGCACTAAGAATATCTCCTGTATTGGTACTCATAAGAATATATCTCATTCTTTGCAATGACTGCATGGTATTCCACTGTACAGATGCGCTAGAATCTATTTGATCAATTCTCTATATCCGTGCCCTCTGTTTATTTTTAAAATTTAAATTTGCTTTTGAAAAATTAAAGCTATACCTGGCCATGGTTTATAAAGAAACTGTGTTTTCCTATTATGCAAAAGGATCCAAAATGCAAAAGTATAAGTTTCCCAATGCCACCCCTCACCTCTCCCTCACCACAGAGTCCCACTCTGCACAGGCACCTGAATTTTTTGTACAGCTTTATTGAGATTTATTTCACATGCCATAAAACCCACCCATTTAAACTGTACAGTTGAGTGGTTTTTAGTGCATTCACAGAGTTTATAACCATTACCACAGTGAATTTTAGAACATTTTCAACACCCTTACCCATTAGCAGTCACTCCCCATCCCTCCTTCTCCCACCCCCAGGCAACCACTAATCTGCTTTCTATCTCTATAGATTTGCCTATTCTAGACATTTCACATATGTGGAATCATACAATACATGGCCTTTTGTGACTGGCGTCTTCCACTTAGCATAATGTTCTCAAAGTTCATCCATTTGTGGCATGTACCAGTACTTCATTTTTTATTGTCAACTAATATGCCATTGTATGTATATCCCACATTTCCTTTAACCGTGAGTCAGTTGATGGACTTTCGGGTCTTTCTACTTTTAAGCTATTATTAGCAACGGTGTTATGAACATTCCTGTATAAGAGTTTGTGTGGACAGATGTTTCCATTTCTCTTGGATATGAGGCGCTTGGTTTTAACAGTGGTTGATTTTTGGTTCATCATCTAGTTATCATTTCAACTTTTTAAGTGGTTTATTTCTCATTTTTTCCACTTTACATGGTATCTGTCAGTTTCTTACTAAGAAAATAGAAGAATTTATGGCTCCTATTTTCCCATTCATAGTGATCTTGGTTGTACGTTGATTTTAGACCACCTGTCATAATACATTCTGTATGTAAAAAGTTAGGAAATAAAGGTAGGCATGTTTTTATATTAACTAGGTTTGTAATATTTTTATTCTTTTTCTTGAAATATGTTGATTCAAACGTTTAACATAATACCCTCTCCCCAGCATTTTCGAATAGTCGTAAACACTATTCAGTTTAGGACTAGGTTGTATGATTACACCCAGAAAGAAGGAAATGTAGCCTTAAAGCAGCGCTTCTCAAAGTGTGGTCCCTGGACCTGCAGCACTCATGTCACCTGGACTTGTAAGAAAAGCAGATCCTCAGATCCCACGTACTGAATCAGAAACTCTAGGAGTGGGGTGTAGCAGTCTCTGTTTTAGTAATTCTGATTCTGATTCAGATGTATGTTCAAGTTTGAGAATACTGCCTTAGCTTGTCCTCTTCATTGCATTCCTTTTTTAAAAAACTGGAATACTTCCCCAAGGAAAATTTTTATAGCAGATAAATGGGTGGTAAACTTTAAATCCTTGCACATCTGAAAATGTCTTTATTTTAGCATCAGATTGATGGGCTTACTGGTTGCTAGCCTCATAATCATTTTCCTTCAAAACTTTTTAAGTTTGTCTTCTAATATCCAGTGTGATTGAACAAATGTCTGGAGGGCGGTCAGTGTAATTTTGTTGTTCATTTGTAAGTAACCTGTTTTGTTTTTTTTTTCCAGAACCACTAAAATATTTGTTTCTTATTTTGAAAGCCTGCTTTTCCCTGATTGTTTTTTTTACCCGTCTTGTTTCGGCAGCGTGGTGGTGTGGAGCATAGCTAAGAGAGATGCCATCTGCGGCAGTCCTGCGGCCGGCCTCAATGTTGGGAATGCCACCACGGTGGTCTTCTCTAGGTGCCGAGATGAGATGTTTGTGACTGCTGGCAAGTATGTGTCTGCCATCAGAGTTCTCAGAACTCATAAATCACTGTATTTTCTTGTACAGAAAACATGGTCATTCTGATCTGGGGGAAAATGTCTTTAGTCCTGGATGGATACTTTATATCATAATTTTCATGATTTTGTAGTTATTAAAAGTTCTTTTAGCTGAAAGCAATGTTTTAAATATGGTTATTTGAAAATTCTGTGATTACCACTGAAAAGATTCTGCTTAACTTGCTAAACTCATCTTGAGTTCTTGTTACTGGAAACACATTATCTCTGATCTGTGCTCACAAAATAATTTACACAGTGGCACAGACTCACTTACTGGTTGATGTATCTTAGCATCTGATCTTGATTTAGGTCTCATGAAATGATAGTTTGCAAATTAACTGTGGCAGGAAGTTTCAAATGCTTAGACTATTAGCCATAGAAGATAATTTCCGGTCGGTCACCAGCGAATGGTGACCTGGCTGAATGTCTGAACAGAGGCCAGCACCTGTCTAAGAGAATAAATTAATTTACAGATTCATTAATCAGAGCCCTGTTTGGAGTTTGAAGGAAAGTTTAAACAAGTAAACTGCACCCCCTTTTATGTGGTATACCAGTTCAAAGGTGAGAAATCTGAAAATGCAGGGTTGAAGTATATGTTGGGTGAAATTGTTTTTTTCAACCCATCTGTGGCCACGCATCTGTGAAAAGTACGTATCGTTGGTTACTTTTCCAGCCAGAGGAGAGAATCTGTGCTGCTCTACATCTATATTGTTTCCTGTCCCCTCCTCATGACATGCAGCATCCATTTGTTCCATGGCTAATTATGAGGAAGGATCCATTCAGGGGCCATGAAACTAACTGACCACCCTGAAAGCCAGCCCCTACCAAGCAATCTGATTAGAACAACACTTTAATGCTAAAGCAACTGGCCATGTCCTACTCTATCTGCTGAGGCTACCAGTGACTGTGAAGCTCTTCAGCCCCTTTCAGGTTTACAGAGTGGTTTGACTGAGCCTTTGTTTTGTGGGGCTCTCTCTGCTCCCCAGCAGCTGCTTAAGCTGCAGGCATTGGCCCATTGTAATAGCCATGGACAACATTTCTCCAAGAGGGAGTCAAAAGTTGAATTCTACACCAAAAAATTTTTTTGGACAATCTATATTCTAAATCTGCTTCAATTTCATTGACACTGATAGCTGAGAAAGTTAACTATCTTGAATAAGATCTCTGATATGGTGCTTATAAATTCTGGGCTCTACATCGTTGTCCCAATTTCATGTAGTCCATTATTTTACCCCCATGAGATGTCCTGCAAATTCCAGTATTTCAGCATCCAGATGATATTACCAGGAAAGCCATGGAAAAGCTCTTTTTTTTTTTTAAATTTGGAAAGTACATTCAAAATATTTATTGAGCATTTGCTACGTGTATAACTCTTAGGGGCTAAAGAAAAAACAGAAGAAAACTGAACTTGATATACTTTTAAATTAATCTTATCTGCCTTAAGATATTAGCTAAAGCCTTTGACTGTAATGTTGACCTTGATGTTTTTAGACAATTATGAATTCAGATTAATTTGACATACATTGATTAAATACCAACCATATGTCAAGTCCTGTGTTAGGTGCTAACTCTGTTTAACTTTTAGTTGCTTTGTCTCATTTCTCCTCCTCAAAGTGCTGGGATTACAGGCATGAGCCATCATGCCCGGCCCTGATTGTGATTTTTTTTTTAATAGTGGGACTATTCGCGTATGGGAACTGGATCTTCCAAATAGAAAGATCTGGCCAACAGAGTGCCGAACGGGACAGACAAAAAGAATAGTCATGAGTATTGGAGTAAGTATTACTTCAGGTATTATTTTAAGTAACTATTAATATGTGCTCCTGTTAACAATACTGACCAAGGTGTGTGTGTGTGTGTGTGTGTGTGTGTATACGTTGGGCTGGAGATAGGAAGGTGAGGCATGGACATATGGCAGGTAGATTGAGGAAGCACAGGTGAGGTAGAGTCTCACCTCTGGAGCTCCCTTAGGAGTTGTCAGCAGGGGTGAGGAACCTGAGGCCTCAAGGCCACATGTGGCCCTCTGGATTCCCGAGTGCAGCCCCTCAACTGAATCCAAACTTCACAGAACAAATCCCAGGGCCGCAGGTTCCCCACCCCTGCACAGCTAGACACAGCAGGTAGGTCTTGTTTTGCTGGGATCTAGACTGTCATCAGATTCTCAAGGCCTGCCTCACCTGAGGAAAGCAGTGTAGCCAGGTGGCACTCAGCTCCCACAGCGCATCTTTATGCCACTGATTTTATTTTTGCCACTGGAAATAAAATTTCTGGCAATGAAATTCATTGTTGAAATGCAATCTCTTCCATAAAGAGAAATTATTAATATATTTTAAATGTGGATTCATACATGCAGGTTGAATATCCCTTATCCAAAATGTGTGGGGACCAGAAGTGTTTCAGATTTTTGACCTTTTCAGATTTTGGAATATTTGCATTATACTTACCAGCACAGCATCCCTAATCCAAAAATCTGAAATCTGAAATGCTCCAATGAGCATTTTCTTTGAGTGTTATGTTGGTGCTCAAAAGATTTCAGATTTCAGAGCATTTTGATTTTGAATTTTCAGATTAGGAATACTCAACCTATATAACTTCATTCTCCATTGACTTATTCCTCTCGTTTAATGCATAGTGATTTTATGACTATAGACTTTGGAAAATATCAGATAAAGGAAATGTATATCCTCTTTGGAGGAGCACACCTTCATCCTAGGACCCCTTTGGAGGTGTCAGGAGTCAAAACTGGCAAAGTATCCATGTTAACATCAGACCCAAATAGACGTCAAGTGAAATGAACAGGCTAATTTCCTCCAGTTCTCTGTGTGGCCTCTTAGAACCATACTGACCCATCTTGGAGTCTGGGGAAATAGAAGTAGCCACAAATGTCTTTGTAAGTCTTCATGAGGTTTCAGAGTAAGCTCATCCCATTCCTGATTAGGGGCTCATGAACATCACTGAGGAAACACAGACCTTCAGGTTTCTTTTTCCCTCTTCCCTAGATGGCTGGCGATGATAGTTTTTTCTACCTTGGCACCACAACTGGAGATATTCTAAAAATGAACCCAAGGACTAAACTGCTCGCGGATGCTGGGCCCGCAAAGGACAAATTCAGTTTGGTGAGTAGAGACCGTCGTGGTCTGCACTGCCTGCCATTTTCCTCCCACCACTGGCAGCACAGACTTTAATTAAGAAAGAATCTGTGGGAAAAAGAAAGAGTCACTGATGGACCCCAGGCCACACCTAAATTTGTAAGGTGCATTGGCTAGTTGTCTAAGCTCTCATCTCTGATTTTCATTCAGGGCAAAGACAATTCTAGGTGTCCCGAATTAGGGAATCAGACCCACACTTTACTTCATCTCTTCAAAGGATAGGGCCTGTTGCTTTGTCATTTGGAACTACATTGATTCCAGCCCAGTCACCATAGGTAAGAGAAGTATGCTCTTTGATCTGTAAGACTATATATATATAATTTTTTCTGCTCTGATAACTAGATCTTAGAGTTTAGCCTCAGCTGGCATGATAACTCATGAACAAGACCTAGAAATAGTTGGTTATTTATATTTACAAAATTCCTAACAATTCTGGTTAATAGACCAGTGAGAAGTTTGATATTTAACCCAAAATAAAAAGCCTACCCTCAAAGGATAATTTTATATAACAAGTGCTGCTATTTCCATCACCCCAGAAAGTTACCAGGGCTGTTTCTACTAAACTTTGAATTTGAAAGCTTGTGCTAGGTTCTGCACCTGTCTATCTCATTTCTGATAGCAGAACAGATGGCTCTAACTAAGCATAGATACTTTTCTACTTAGCAGATATTCTGAAGAAACTTTGAAATGTTGCACCGTGTTCCTGGGAAAATGTCAGGGTTTTCTTAATCATGTAATCATTTAATATTCAAACTTCTAAGGAGATCTATAGAAAGGGGGGGAAGCTATAACATAGGTAGAGTAGAGTTAGAAATAATTCTACAGGAGATTGAAGTGTAGCTTTTCAAGTGTAGTTTTTCAAATTATTGTTAGGAGAGGAATTCCAGTATATTAAACAGATAAAAACAAAGTGGATTAGGTTAAAGGCAAGCAAGGCTTAGAGCCCTGCCAGTTCCGACTCCTGAGATGCCACCGAAGGGCTCCGGGGAACACTACTGGAAAATTGCTGCTCCGGATACTTCGTACCTTCTCAGCACTTGGGAACTAAGTGCCTCTCCAGTAAAGATGCTGGCTGTCTTTGTGTGCCCCACATCTTTGGCACTTAAGTCTCCTACAGATGCTTTAGTTCCTAACCATTCAGGTCTGGTGGTAAATTCCATAAGGTGGTGGTTCCAAGACAATTTTTACATGGATGGGAAGAAAACAATACTTGCAGGACGAAGGGATAGGAGGTGCCACTGAAGATGTCTGGTTTGACTATCAGGGGATCTTGAGCAGTTACCCATTTTGAAAATCTACTTAAATATTTGCTCTATGGTTAGAAAGGTAAAGAATTAGAATGGTTTAAAATTGGCCTATCAGGCAAACAGTACTAAAATGAAGATGATGATAATAATCATCACCAATTATATTTTGTGCAAGATCTGTATGAAGAAAATTATAAAACTCTGATGAAAGAAATCAAAGAAAAACTAAGTAAGCGGAGAGATATTTCATGTTCATAAATAGGAAGACTCAATGTCAAGATGTCAGTTTTTCCCAATTTAATCTATAGATTTAATGAATCTCAATCAAAATCCCAGCAAGTTATTCTGTAGAGATTGACAAACTGATTCTAAAGTTTGTAAGGAGAGGGGAAAGACTCAGGATAGGCAACACAATATTGAAGAAGAGCAAAGTTGGAGAAGTGACACAACCCAACTTCAAGAATTACCGTAAAGCTACAGTAACCAGAACACTGTGGTGTTGGTGAAAGAATAAACAAATAGATCAATGGAACAGAATAGAAAGCCAAGAAGTAGACCCACATAAATACAGTCAAACTGATCTTTGATAAAGGAGCAAAGGCAATCTGATGGAAAATAGTCTTCTTCATAAATGATGCTGAGACAATTGGGCATCCATATGCAAAAAAAACTGAATCTGGACACAGATCTTACACTTTCACAAAAATTAACTGAAAATGGATCACAGACCTAAATGTAAAATGCAAACTATAAAACTCCTAGAAGACAACATAGGAGAAAATCTAGATGATCTAAGGTTTGGTGATGAGTTTTTAGATACAATCCCAAAGGTGTGATCCATGATAGAAAGAATTGATAAGCTGGACTTCATTAAAATTAAAAATTTCTGCTCTGCAAAAGA